TAACAGACCGACGAGACTTTTAACTAAGAGCCAAGGTCCACCGGACCGCTCTGACGAATAATGACGAATAGTAGTAACAAAACTGTGAAGAAGTCGATTTATGTGCAATTTGACCCTCACTACGGACTATGAGAATTAAGAGACAAGCTAATCCTTAACTGACACCTTCTACCTAGTGTGAATTCGATGCCAACGCAAAATTAACCGGACAAAAAAAGTTGTTCAAATTAAATTTTAAATAACTTTTTAACCTTTGCATCAATTTCGTTAAATTTTTCGTACTGTTGTAGGTAATTTCATTGAAGTCATTATCGACTGTCGATCTTAAAAAAAATAAAAAATTCTTGTTGTTCTACAGGGCGTAACTAAAAGGTGGATTTTGTCCTAAATTAATGAACTTTGAATTACAGAATAATGTGTCTTCAAATGAGAATTTTAAGCCTCAGCTTTTCTCAACAGTTCTTTATTTGATTCATGTGTATATCTCACTTATTGAAGAATATATATGCTGGTTTGAAGAAAATCATGCAACTCATAAACTAGACAGTTTCAAGAAGGCTTTGCCGGGTAAGAAATTGTTTCAAGGAGGATGTGTTTGTTAGCATTTTTATGACATGTCAAAAAGATTCTTGTCAAGCAACATTCAACAAATATGACACCGGAACAAGTAGCGCAAGCTGTAGCTTTACGGTATATCGCAGAAAGGCTTGCCGTTCGACGCAGTATAACAACAAACATTTACATTCTTTTTTACTTTTATTGCAAGATCGGCAGTTGATAATGGCGACAACGAAAAAACCTACAACTTGACGAGAAAATTAACGAAATTGATGCTATGGTTATAAAGTTATTTCAAATTTAATTTGAACAAAATTTTGTTTGCCCTGATAATTTTGCGTGGCCGTGTAGTTCCACATTGATTCAACTATAGGGACTTCCTCGAATAGTTCATTTTATTAGCTATTTCATTGTGCCGTGACAATTGAGTTCTATTCCAATTGCTCCAAATATATGCGCTCATCTCTCCTAATTAGGGACAGAATTCAATATCCGACACGCCAACAACGCAGCTCGATAAATTTCGACCAGTATACACAGATCCAAATCAAATAACATAGTTAAGCAGAGAAAGCGCATACATGTGTCGCTTTTAGCCGCTGTACCAACGATCAGAGACGGAAAACAGATTGACACACGGCTACCAAACACTGCTCAAATTTCCAATAGTTGACAGATAAGCAACGTTGTTCTTGTCGATAGGAAACAAGCGGCAAGCATACATCACAGGACATCAAAGCTATAACGATGATTAAAAAACAGCAATACTTGAGGACAGCGGCAGTATCTACGCAACATCTTTTAGATCGTATATCGTAAAACCGCGGACCCGAATCAATTGGAGTTTTTTTATATGCCAAAGCCACGTGGTTAGTATAACGCAGTTAGGTACTAAAACAATGTATTGCATATTTGGAGTCCTTAAATTTGGGACTTTCACAATTCTTATTTGGGGTGAAACAAAGCCTAACGTTGCACTTGGTACAAAAGATTGTTGTAAATCCATTGGTACAGTGCCTGCATATACCTTTTGTAAAATAAGTTGGCCAATGACCTATGCCATCGTTTTGGGTGGTGATATCAGGTCTCGGCAGTACAGGGTTTGATATTATTTTCGCAGGGGTTTTATTAGTCGAGGAAATGGATGGTCTGCCACGAGCACTTTGTTTTCCTGCGTTGGCCAACGATTTGGCTAATTCCATACGGAACTCCTTTAGCGGTTTTGGCGGTACGCGTTGCAGTCCTTTCTATACAGAAGCCAGGCGTTGATCACAGTCATATCAAGAACAGATGTGAAAATTGGGAATAATAATAATAATAATAATAATAATATTTATTTACTCTAAAATACAGGGAACATGAAACGAGTAAATAAATATAATATATCCATAGGAGGACAACGCCTGTGCATGGATCATATGTATGTTGAATTGCAAAATATAATAAAATAGAGAGAAAACAGAAATTATTGGTAAGAATGGTAGAGCATTTATTGTGTAATATTTGAGATTATTTTATTAATTTGATTTCTCCCAATCGTGTTAATAAATTTTTTTAATTTTTTTTTGAAGCCTAATGTATTGCGTAATTGTTTTAAATCATTTGGTAAATGTTCGTACAATTTTGGAGCTATATACAGGTGACATCGTTTCATTAGGGATTTTTTTGGTTTAGGAACATTTTTTGCGCGTAATTTATAACTGGTTTTATGATTATGTTTAATTATGTCGTGTTCACTAATAGTTTTGTGATAATGAGTGATGGTATGTAAGAAGTAAAGTTGTTTAGTATCATATACTTGTGCATCATTATATAAGTCATTAGTTGGGTATAATTTTGATTAGCCTAACATTGATTTTAAAATTCTTCTTTGAAGTACATCTAAATCGTTAAAGTATGTCGTGCATGCAGCACCCCACACTACTATACCATATGTTATGTGTGGCTCGAGTAAAGCTTGATATATTATTCGTAGATAATATTCAGTTAATATACCGGTTAGAAATTTTATTTTATATGCTATGAATCTAATTTTATTTAGTATGTGAGAAATATGTACATCCCATCTCAAGTGGGGATCTAGATAAATTCCTAAATATTTTGTATCATTAACTCTATTGATTTTTATATTTTTATCATTTACCTTAAACCGAAGGTGGTTATATTTTGGTAGATGATTAGATAGTGATGAAAATGGTAAAAAATGAGTTTTAGTAAAGTTAATTGTTAATTTTCGGTTATTAAACCACTGAATAATTTTGCAAAAGTCATTTAGGATAATATCTTTTAAGTCGTTCCAATCCTTACCTTTATAGAGTATAGCAGGATCGTCTGCAAAACTGACTATTTTACCAGTACTGTTAATTTTGAATATATCGTTTAAATAAATATTGAATAACAGAGGACCCAAAATTGTACCTTGTGGAACACCACATTTAACAAACATTTCTTTACTATACGAGTTTAATAATTGTACTGATTGCGGTCTATTTGATAAATAATTTTCCATTAAAGTATACATCTTTCCACGAAAACCTATTCTTTTTAAGATTTCTAAAAGTATATTGTGGTTAACTGTGTCAAACGCTTTTTGTAAGTCCACAAATACGCATATCGATGGTACTTTTCCATCTATATTTTGGGTTATTTCATTTACTATACTTAATACCCCATCTGTTGTAGATTTGCCCGCTATAAAACCATATTGATTTGAATTTAGAATTTTGAATTTATTAAGAAAATTAACCATTTTATTAAGGAGTAATTTCTCAAAAACTTTAGCTAAACTTGATATAAGTGAAATAGGTCGATAGTTAGTGACGTCCGTATTATCATTAGATTTATAGATAGGTATGATGATTGCTGTCTTGAAAGCTGATGGAAGTACTCCAGATTGGAAGGATTTGTTAATGATATAAGCAAGTGGTTCTGTTATTCGTTTGGCCAGTATCTTTAGATGTTCAGCTCTAATTTCGTCAACTCCTGGGCTTTTTTTATTTTTTAGAGTCATAATGGCATTGAAAACATCCTGATAGTCTACTTCAGTTAATACAAATGAATTATTCAGTCTTGTTTCATGCAGATGAATATCAGCATTTTGTTTGATATTATTTGCTAAGTTTCCTCCTATATTCGTGAAAAATTCTATGAACTCATCACATATTTGCTGAATATTGTCTGTTTTCTGTCCTGTTTTTGTTTTTATTTCATTAATATTGTTTTTTGAATAGGATGACTTATTGAATATATCATTGACAGTGGACCATAGGTGTCTAGAGTCATGTGAATTATTATTCAATTGTTTTATATAGTAATTTTTTTTGCTTTTCTCAAAAGTTCTATAAATTTGTTTTTATACTGATTATAATGATCTATATTTTCTTTCGTGGGTAAATATTTCATGATTTTATACAGTCCTTCTTTTCGATCTGCTTGGACTGCGATACAGACCAAGTAATGAATTGGCCTTATCGACACCGCCCATGTGCTTATTGTACTGCGTTATAACGGATGGACAAGGGATGGCAATTTTTAGGCCACAGAATGTACTTGCTAATATAACACATTTATCGTCAGCCCATTTTACTACTATTATACCTGTATCTGATTTATAAACGTAGGAACCTCTTCCCTTTTTTTGAAGCACTTTATCGGTTTCAAGTTGACATCCAGCTATTCTGTTAGACCTTATAGTTCCTAAACTAAGTATCCAGAATCGGTCTTTCAGATAAACAAATAATTTTACACTTGAAAACCAATTGTGTTTTTCGGTTCGCTTAGGGTTTTGCACAGAAAAATGACGGCGCTAGCACCTACACCTAGATTTACTTATAATAATCTAGCTCATTCGAAGACCCTCTAAGCACTTCAAATGTCGCAGCTGCCTGATAGGGTATGAAGTCGGCAATATAACCAGAAACCCCAGCACGAATAAAAAATTTAGACCCCCATTTGTGGGGTTTATTTTGGATATACTGCTTCAAGTTGCCCGCATATGTGCCTTTGTAAGACACCATTGTTTCATCAATTGAGTATTGATTTTCAAACTGGAGTTTATAACAGTTCTTGCGTACAATTTCTAATAAGGGTCTAATTTTGAAATATCGATCCTTTGTCTGGTCTGTTATGTTAGTATTATCATTGTTTCTGAAACCTCTTCAGAGGCATTATATTGGCCACGTGTTCTACTCTTGTACTAGCTGCCCAAAAATCTTCTCTGGCAGGCAGTTATATCACACCCATAATCAAGAGTATAGGTAGAAAATCCGTTATTTCTGACGGACTTGTATCAATACATTGCCCAAGCTGCTGAGTACTATAAAGATTTGTCTGATAGACTATTTTATCCATTAGATCAAATGAAAAAAACTTTGTAAAATACTCAATGGGAACTGCAATGTTGTCAGGTTCAGGAAAGTCTGGTGAAGGTATGTTAGCAGAAACTATGTCAGCTTCAATCCAAGAATATGATTCAGTTTTTCGTCTTTGTGGTGGTGGCGGCTCAGTTTCATCGTCACTTTCTTCGAATTCATAATTACTTTCTGGAACCAGCATGTCAAGTCCTGAAGGCACTTCTTCTTCATCGTTACGCTCATTTGTTTGGGAAATATGTTCTCCGTCACTGAAATCGTCGTCTGAGACATCGGAAATATGCGGATCTGTGAGAATTACGGTCGGTGCCTTCTTTTTGCCGAAAAAAACATGTAGTGCTTATGGTTGGAAAACTATCCAGATCGGAAGACTGAAAAAGGAAACGTAATTATTCTGGCAATGTTGCTTGAGAGATACATACTAAACAAAGTCATTTGCCTGCCTTATTTTCTGATCAATCGCTTAAAAATAATCGTAAACATAAAGACTCAATGGTCTTTTATACCAACCAAGGCTAATAGAACATAAAAACAAATGATTACTTACCATTTGCAACTAAAATCCCAACTGCAGATTCATACGTGCACCAAACACGTGTTACGCGGCAACCATATTGAAAATGTTGACTCAACTTTTTATAAACAGAGGTCGGTCATAATATTATTTCCGTTAATGAATAATGACGTAGCTCCAAAATCGCGATTACATGACTGGCATCCAACGGATCGAAACGAAATGTGAAAAAATTTATAGGTCTGATTAGGTATACTTTATCTGAAGTCACTTGAAACACTGTGAAATACCGGGTGCGTTTTATATATCTATATTTAACACGCTCTGTTGCTGCAAAAATCGCCAAATTTCGCAGCAAATATATAATATAAGATCAAAGGCAGTTTCACCGGTCCACCTGGAGTAAAGCACGCCTATGCGTGGACATAGCCAATGAGAAAGCGTGTATTTCAGAGCTCTGAACAAGTGCAGGTGGCTACTGAAAATTGAAACAGTTTAGCCAGTGCCGTGTAGCGGTGAATAAACGTGTTTTCTTTAGTCTGTCCGTGTTTTTTTCATAGATTTTATTAGTTTGTGTGTTTTTGACTTTTGAATACTCAGTTTACTTGTTGATTTAATTGTTGTGTTGATTGTTCTTGTGTGTCCTAAATATGGCTCTTTGGAGACCTTGGGAAAATGCTCCAAGCCACGAGGAGATGGTTGATGAATCTGTGCAGGCAGAATTCTTTCATAAAGATTTAGAGGAACAGACCCAAAGAGTAATCCTAAATATGTATGATTGTCTGAAAAATGAAAATCCAGATTCCTCGCAAAATCAAATTTTAAACAGAATTTGTATCCTGACAAAAATCAGTCGGTCTACCATTTATCGGGTTATAAAAAGGGGAGATGTAGTCAACCATTCCTTCCACAGAAAGCGCATAGGGCAAAAATTAAAAAGAACAGACGTGGGTTTTCAGGAAGATATTCGTCGTATAATATACGGATTTTATAAAGAAAATTTAGTGCCCACGTTGGAAATGATACGGGATAAATTAAAAGATTATCCTGAAGATTTTTATAATTACAAATGCTTAGACTCACTGCACTGTATTGTAAAACTGTGTCGTTTACAATACAAAAAATTAGATAAAAGAATGGTGATTATGGAGTCGTCTCGAATCGTTGAATTGCGCCAAGAATTTTTGCACAAAGTTAAAATCTATAGAGAGCAGAAAAGAAATCTGATTTACCTGAATGAAACGTGGTATGACACCCATGATGTTGTGCAGTACGGCTGGGTTGACGACAGCAACAAGTGCATTTTAAATGCACCATGCAACCGTGGAAAACGAATCATTATTCTCCATGCTGGCAGTGAAAATGGATTTATACCTAATGCCTTGCTGTTATCTGCCAAAAATATCAAAGAATCATATGCCGACTATCATGAGGACATGACCTCCGACTTATTTGAAAAGTGGATAGAGCAGCAGTTAATACCAAACATTTCCCCAAATTCAGTGATTATTATGGACAATGCGCCATACCATTCCCGACAGAAAAACAAAATTCCGAATACAGGCACAAAAAAACAAGACATTATTGATTTTATGAAGGATAGGGGAATGGAAATACCACAAAAATCAACCAAAGCCATATTATTGGATCTTATTAAAAGAAAGATTAAGAGAAAATTTGAAAAAGAGTATGTTGTTGACAATCTGCTTCAGCAAAATGGCCATGAAGTATTACGTCTACCTCCCTATTACTGCATTTTTAACCCGAATGAGTTGGTCTGGGCTGCTTTAAAAAAAAGTAAGAAAACATAATCAGACCCCTCAATTAAGTGAATCGCTATTGGCCACAATAAGAGATGCAGTATCTCATATTGCTGCCACAGACCTATGGAAGCAGTGTTCTAGGCATATTATTGACAAAGAAAATGAATATTGTGTTTTGCCTCCTGTAAATCCCGTTGTAATTCCTCTACAAGATGACTCTAGCGACAGCTCCGAAGGCGAGGATGATATATAAATACCTATAATGTAAGTCTTTATATACCTTTTTATATACCTACCTGCTATGTAAATATTTGCCTATGTCAAACGTTGGAATTCTGTAATTTTTCCATTTCTTAACTTTCAGTCAACATAAATTAAACTCCCAATATAAGTGTTTTTTTATCCCAAATCAAAAAAATAAGAAGATACTAAAATCCATTTATTGTGATATAAAAACATTATTATTATCGTTCTAAATAAATTTTACCGCACGCCTATGATACGTCATGAAATTACAAAGGACGCGCCGACCAAAGGTTTTTATGCTATTTCAAGTGACTTCAGATACACCATACATGGGGCTTGTTCGAATGCCATCCATAGGGGACTACTGGAGCCGAAATCGTGTATCTAGAAATGACGTTGCTTCATCCACAATGAGCAGAAATCGGTTTGAAATGTTGTTACGTATGTGGCACTTTTAAAATAATGAAGAATGCGAAGAAGGAGACAGGCTACACAAAATTTAACCCCTTCTTCATTTATTCTTGAAAATATATCAGGAAGTACTCCAGGCGAAGTATTTTGCATAGATGAAAGTATTATTCATTTTCAGGAAAGATTAATTCGTAAGACGTGTCAATCCCTACATCTCCCTGATGCATAAGGCAATTACTATGGACATAGACAAAAAATTATGAAAAATGTTTCACAGATAATGGCTTTTAAGTCCAAAAATCAAAAACCTAGTAATGTTTATTGTTTGTCTATTTTTATCTTTTGACTGGCGGGGATATCTATCTGACACTCGCAAGGTTGCCAAGTCTAACGGCGATCACGTCCCGTGGTGGAGGGTGCGAAATGAATCTTTTACATTTGCTGGTTTTGAATTTTTTTCGTGAAAATTTGGTATCATGATTATAAGCATCTTTGGCAGATTTTTCGATCCGGAATAGGAAAGATCTCCTATTTATGAAAATACTTTTGGTATCATCTAACCTTTGCAATCAGTGCACAAACACTGTGACATATGATTTATAGCATAACCCACTGCCCTATCAATACAAATTTAACATACAGGTCGCCTAGCCGTCGGGATGCAGTGGTCGGGATAAACATCACGGCAGCAACTGATGATTTGGGCATGTCTGGTAAGAACGTATGAAGTGAAACTCGCTAACTTCACAAATTTGAAGATTTTCTACAATTTCTTTGAAAATGATGATGAAAATGGTGTCTGATTTGGCAGGGTAATGTCGCAGCCAAATGGCAGTCACTCTTTCGGACACAGTCCGGATCGAAAGATGTCGATACTCGTGAAATGTATTGATACTTCTAAATATAGGATCCTATCGAACATCCCTACTGTCAAGGTACGGACGGCGCTATTTTGCGGCGTCATGGAAATAATTTTTAATATTCATTTGCATTTTTTCAAGTGTTGTGCAATGATTTTGGGAAAAATGTCACGAATAGTCTTATAAAGCATAGTAGAGTATATTTCAACAGTTGGCAGAACTTACTCCACTGGGACCAGGAGGGTGAAACGGGATAATGATACACAATCTGGCAACCCTGTCGCACCCGCACAAAATGGCCGCTGACAACCACACAAGTCACCGTGTTGTGATTGAATAGCATGGAATTAAACCTTCGGAGTATATATGTTTTGTGACTGATACACAGAGTTGACAGATCCCACACATGTGTCACTCCTTGAAATGCAATAATCAGCTGTATTCAAATAATGTCTAATATAAATATAACCTAGAATGTGTACTAGTGAAAAAAGAAAAATATGGCAAATTTGTGTTTTTTTTTTCAGGTTTTATAGGTTTGCTGGTAGCTTTAAGGCATATATTTGGGAATTTCTTAATCGCTGTGAATATAGTGTGGATGTTTGTCCAGTTCCTGAACAACGAAAAATATTCAACTTCATGGATGTATGGATATCAAAAAACCTGAATGGTTGTGTAGGAATATCAATCTAAGGTGCCATAATGGTTCTGATGAACGGCAAGTAAATGAATGAATGTTTGGAAACGAGCAATATCGTTTTGTAGAGCCTGTCATCAAGTAGGTGCTTAATGGCTATCTGCAAGAGGTTTATAGGAAAAAACACACAGTATCACATACCAGTTGAAGAAAATAATATAAACATGAATAAAAAATCAACAATAGCAATTAAAACATGAATTTATTTCAAAAATCAAACATTTCTTAAAATTTTAATTGAATTAAATAATTTAATAATAAATAATTTTCTCCTAATTACTATTAGATGCTATTTTAATAATTGTTTCCAGCTCCAGACGATGAAGAAAAAATTCTTCGAAAGCTTGAGCTTTTAAGTTATAAGAGTGTACTTTTGCAATACTTTGCCTTCCACCCAAATAAATTAAAGGATATCTCTTCTCCTAACAGTTAAGGCAATTAACTATGAATACTATATACATATAATAGTAAAACTGACAAGAATTTTAATCAGCGTAACAGACGCATGCTGTCGCTAAAGTTAGGAGACAATTTGACCATCTTAAAGCAGTGTACAAGTTTATTCATTGCAAACCATTTTCTCTGATTCAAACACCTGCTGACCATTATGTTCCAATCCAGCGGTGTTTTTGTCGCTAATCATCAGCTCATTCAGTTACTGAGGTAATAATTCTTAATAATAATAATAATAATAAATTTATTTTCCTTCAGACATACATGAATATGTATAGGTTTCGTCAAAAAAATACAATAAGTAAATATGTACAAAGTAAATAAATAAA